TTCTGTATCATACCTAGTAAGCGATCCACAATCTTCTTGAATAGAAAGGCCATTAAAAATGCAAGATCCTTTCTTTACACTAAACATACATGGGGGAGTTCATGGCTTTTTATTTATTTATTTATTTTGCAGGGATTATTAACTGGGTACAAATGCTGACCTTGTAATGTGTCTCTCTGTCTGTACATGTTTTTAAACGAATTAAATGCTAACATTTGAATGTTCACAAAACATTAGGCCCCTTTAAATTACAATAACAAAAAAACCCGGCACTTACTCTGCTTTGAGATTCTATTAAGGAATCACTGGGTCTTTACCCGAACGCTGAAAGCCATCTATGATCGTCTAATTGCAAGAGCAGGGCCGTGGCTGCTAGATAAATATGAGCATTCATGGAAAGCGAGTGTATGCAAAGGGAGGTTAAAGCAGCCTGGTTGGCAGAGGTGTGTGTACTGAGTAGTGTCTTTGTCTTTTATATAGAAAAATACTAATTAAAAACAAAATGTAAAAACTGAAGAATGCTAGTTATGTTTTAGTGTGCTGCTAAGGTAAATATATACTAGGTCATTTAAAGTGCATTGTTAAGTCAGCCTGTGCCACAAAATTTCCAAATTAAAAGCTGAACAGAAATACATCTGGAACGGGACACAAAAGCAGATTACTGTTACTTTATCCAGAGTTCTGCATTTGGTCTATGGTTCACTTGTGCTGCTGGTAACCACTGTGCAGGGAAACACAAGCAAGCACAGCTCCTGGAACCGTACCTTGCTAAATTTCCTTTTTACAACCTCTCCAGTGGTCCAGCATAACCCCTAGAAGTTTTACCCTAAGGCTTGGAGATCTGAACTCCATATGCCGTCTGGTGCTTTGGATACGAGACCCCCTTTTAATATGTCGAAAACAGAAACAGCTTGGAATATTAACTTAACTGTACCTTACTGCTTACAGCATGTAATGAGAAAAGTAGACAAGCTGTCAGAGTTAGCAATTAAGATCAATTCTTTACATTTTAAATGTGAAATACTGCAAATTGCACTGAAGTATTTGAAGGGTTCTAATGAAGGCATGTTAATGAAGGCACTGCTGCATTGGCAAACAATTTTTAATTCACCTCCTGCTTGGGAGCACAGAACTTCCAGTCCCCTTCTGGGCACCTATGCATCACCCCCAGCTTGGAGTCCCCCCTCCTCTCTTTGGAGGCCAAAGAGAGACAGTGGGGTTGGCCCTCACTCTCAGTACAGCCAAAGGAGGATGTTCTTTGCTTCCAACAGATGGTGTCACTGGAGAGGAACAGAGCGGTGTTCTCTCCATCTGTGGCTGAATGTATTGCTTTTGTGATGCATCCAAAAGACAGGGTGTCACTGCTTGGCATTGAACCCCAGATCCCCATGGAAGGGTGGGTGATTTTGGCCTTGCCCTGTGACTCCCACTGACATCAGAATGAGCCACATGACCAAAAGTAGTATCTCTGTCTGCTCAAATGGGACAAGTAAAGACTCAGGTTCCCTTTGTAGCAGCCATTTTCCTGCTGGGATTATTAACCCAAATTTGTGGAGCTCTAGATCTGCTAGATGGGCTTATTTACCTAGACCGGGGGTGCTCAGCCCTCCTCCCAGGGCTCAGATTCGTCCTGGGGGGTCCCTACACATCGGTGGGAAGCCCCAAGAGCTGGCACTGTCCACTAGATTGAGCAAGCAGGGTGGCGTGGGACCCAATCCCAGCCCAGGGGGCCAGACAGGCAGCCTGGGGCCTAATCTTGCATGTGGGCCCGATCCTAGTACACGGGTATGATTCAACCTGCCGAATAGCCCAGCACCACTCATCTGGCCTGCAGGGCCAAAAGGTTGAGGATCCCTGACCTACACTGTCCCACCATGATTTAAGGTTTGACTCCATGCTAACAGACATAGAAGGAGAAATAGAATCTCTTTTTCTGTGGACAATCTTATACCAAGTTATAGCCCCGGAGGCAGAAGTTTAAGATGTCTGTGCTGGAGCAGCAGAACCGGATGGTGACTTATTAGTGCAGACAGGTCTCATTTTTAATCCACCTAAGGCCTGATCCAAAGCCCATTGAAACCAGGGGGGAGTATTTCCACTATTTCTACCAGGGGTGGAGGGGAGTATTTCCCTTCCCACCCACCCCTGGGGGCTTTGGATCAGGCCTCAAATGTATGGAATAAAAACTCCCCTTCAGTCATTGCTATATTGACGTTCTTTATTTTGTAGGTTGAGAATTTGGGTTAAAGGCCATTGCTATAATTAGGGTTGCAACAGGTCACTTCTGTGCCACCATTTTGCTTTAATAGTATTTGTTTAAGTCACCTCCAGACTCCTCTCCTGGCCTCTCTAGCCTGGAAACAGCCACCGTGATAAAAAGGTCTTTCTTTGTGCCACTATCCTCCCAAAGAAAAAGCTTCACATCTGATTTCAGTTTTCTGAAATAACAACAGATGTTTATCTTGTATTGTATGGCACATGGCACTACAACTCATAAACCCCCTCCTGGAGCTCTGAGCAGAGTTTCTGGTCCCTCTTTTGGACACTTGCAGGCTTTGTGCTTTTCTTTTTTTTTTAAATATTTTCATTTCTCTGCAGCTTAATCTGCTACCAAAGTATTTATAAGTATCACATTATAAACCATGAAACAAGGAATAGCAGAGGAGATTTTCAATACTTCCTTCCACTATGCAGAGGACAGTATGTGTGGCTACTTACCTGGAGCCTCCAATAATGAAATAATTAAGCAGGCATTCCACAATTTCCCAGCAAGACTTAACCATTCAGGGGATGGGACAGTGGATGCGTTTTTAGGAACAGCCATTAAAATATTGGAGAGGATATTAACTGCTGGCAGAACTCTGTTTTCCTTAGCTTAGTGAGAGAGTGAAACCCTTTTCATTTTCCCACTAAAAACACTGTTTTAATTTTACTGTAGAAATGGTGAATTTCTACATCTGGAGCAATTTTACACATGCGTGTAAAATTTACACAATTTTACACAATCCCCAGCTACTGAAGCCTCTATTACCTGATGGAAATGGCAGTTGCATTCAGGAAGTAATATTCAAATCTTGTGAAAATGCCACTGTTTGTATATGAGCACTAGTGAAGTGCATGTTGGTAGTATCATGCGACTGCCTTCCCAATTACCTTGCACCTTGACTCACCAAGCAGTTTATATGCACAAAAGGAAGGTTGGGGGTAGTTCAGTTGACTAATAATAGGATGCATAGCAAAGAAGGAAGAAAATAAAGTACTTTTCCTGGTCTTTTGCATCATGTAGTCATTCTGGGGGAGAGATGAAGTAGATGGACAGCAGATCAAAGTGTCTGAACCAAGCACAGAGGTGGAAGGGTGGGTCCAAGTGAGTGAACATTGTCCAGGGGCTGCAGCTGGTCAGTGGGGAAGGGAAAGGCAGAGCCAGAGTTCACTTGGACCAGCGCACAAAGATCTGGGTTAAAGTGAAATTATCTTCCTGTTCACCTGGGAGAAGGAAGGATTAGCAGGCAAAGTAATCGCTGCTCAAACACTGAGACAAGACTACTCTTTCACTGACAATTTATTCATTCAGTGTGCGCTAAAGCAGACTCCTACTGCAGCTGGAGTATTTAGTTAGATGCAGCAATATTGTCTTAAATATACAAAAGGGAACAGCTTTTTTGTCTCAATATTCCATAACTCAGCCATGTACACTGGTGTCTTTTTTGCATACCCTATGAAAGCATGGTTTGCTCTATGTTTGAGTAAATGCAGCTCTCTTTTGTTTCCTTGGCTGAATTCTTTATTTATTGTTTCCTAAAATGATTTGCTTTCTTCCTCCCCCTTCAAAACACATACGATAGCAATAAATAGATACAAAATCGGACCAAGAAACAAAAGGCCAAACATTCCGATAATGTACATTTGGTTTGTATTTATCATTTTAAGATGTGTTTTAATTGGTTCACTACCAACATCCTGTAGCTTTCAGTCAGTCAGAAGAGAAACCTGTTTCATTTTAAAGCCAGTTCATTTCTTCCCTGTTCCAACAGAGACCAGGGATAAACCCCTAATATAGTATCTCCAAATTTAATTGCATTAAAAAAGTTAATGTAGAAGATTATAATACATTTTGCTTCCCTATTCTTAGTTGATGATTAAAAGCTGGATTTGATTTTGGATAGGGTAAGAAAAGGAAAACAGTTTGCTCCTCTGTAACTTAAGCCTTGAAAAAGAAAATATGACACATAAACCTGCACAAAGCCCTGCAAGCCTAGAAATAAACAGATTTGTATATTAATCCAGCAGCTCAGTCTATTTAGCTCAGCCTAGAGAAGGCTGAAGGGTGATTTGATCACCCTCTATAAATACCTGCATGGAGAGCAAACCTTTGATAATGGGCTTTTGGATCTAGCAGACAGAAGTATGGCCAGATCCAACAGTTGGAAGTTGAAAGCAGACTAATTCAGACTGCAAATAAAGGCACAGGTTTTGTACAGCGTCTGTTGTTAGCCACTGGTTGTGACAGATTCTCCATCGCTATCCTTTTTTAAATCAAACTTGTAGGCTTTCTAAAATATCAGCTTCAACTGAAACGTAGTCAATTCTTAGAGCTTGATGGTCTGTGGGTGCATCTACACAAGACGCTTACTGTGCAGTAGCCTAATAATAGTGTGCTGGTCCAACACTGTGCTAATGCGCTACTGCGCAGTGTTATTAGGCTACTGCGCAGTAAGTGTTAAAAAAAAACCTGTGCCGGTGTTACTACAAAATAGCATAAATTACTGTGCACTAAATTAGGACTTGGTTAACCAAGTACCAAACTTAATGCGTAGTAACCAGGGCACATTAATGAACAGGTAGATGTGCCCTGTATGTACTGGAGGTTGGAAAAAATAAAGCCAATGTTCCTTTTTGGCCTTGTATTCTAGTAAGCAAACTGCCCCTGGTCTTAAACTATCTTCCAGTGGACAAGTACACTTGAGGAAAAACAACCATTTAGTTGGCTGTCTCCACAGAAAAGAAGTGGGATGAACAGAGACTGAACTTCCCTCCAACTCCTGGAAGCAAATGTGAGTAGTCTGAGTATTTTGTGCTTCTGCTCCTGGGCTATATCTGTCCAGTGGATTAACGGAGGATTTCAATTCTTAGGACACTCATGCTGGCACCTTTTGCCAACAATAAATGAGAGAGAAGTAAATCCCTTCCCTCCTTACCCCAGTTGATAAACACCTACCCGTTACTGAATATGGGCTTGCGGCACAGGTGTTGTTTAGGTCATTTGGGTCCCTGATATAGTTCTGGTTCAAGCCCCTGTCTAGGTAAGCAGATTGCCTGGTAGGGCCAGATAGGTATATAGCATTCAAAGACTTCATTCCTATTCTCCAGTAGTGGAAACACAATATTTCAGATAAAACTCAAAGGATGAATTTCTGTGCCCATACCTTTTTGTGCAGGTACTTATGAGTGATGTGAATATGTCATGATTCACAGGACTTTCAGCATTGATTTTGCTACCCATGGAAATGGTGTCTGTACTATTACAAATACTTCTCGTAAATATTTTTGCATAACCAGTTTTGTGCTAACCCAGAGCCTCGTAGCACTCTGAAATCAGAGCTAGAAGAACAAATACTAGGCCTAAAAGAGCATGGGGCTTTCAGTATTTCCTTACCAAGTTTCCAAATACTGAGAATAAGTGTCATAAATGAATGGCCCAGAGGCCTTATTTAAACATGGATATTTGTAGGCACCTGTCAATACAAAAGAAGCTCTGTGGCAAGCACAGTTTTTAATGTACTCTTAAATGTGGCTTAGTTACCCACATATCTGAGGTCAAAAACTGAAACGGTGTTGACTACGAGGAGCTTCTTTTTTAATCCAACTGAAATGCACCCAGGCGCAGACAAGGGTTGAGATGATCTTTTACCCATTGCCAGCTCCTATCTGATGAGCTTCAGAACTGAGGGATGATGACTGAGCTTTCACAAAGATGCAGAGAAACAAATCCTTTCATGGGAAAAAAGGTGTCTTGAAACAACCGCTCCCCTGTGTGATAATGAATGTTTCTGTTGCTGTGGTAAAGCTGTTTAATGTGGTTAGGCCATTTCAAGAAGTTTATTAACAGAAGTGGTGGGGTGGTGGAATTACCTGGAAGTTTACCTTGGTTAGTATCACATGGAGTTACAGAAGCCAAGAGGAGGCCTGCAGTAGCTGACAGAGCTGAAGTGGATGTATTAATAGCACCAGTTGTTAAGGGGGAGGAGGGAGGAAAGCACTTTAATAGAGAACACAAGGAAACCCTCAGAACGAAGCACTAGAGTAGGAGGAGAGAGGGTAGGGGGAGAGTGTGTTTTTTTGTTAATTCTTTTTTTTCGGCAGATTTTGAAAAGGAACACCATCCCTCCTTTTCAGTTCATTTTTTCTTTCTTTTTTTTCTTTTTTTGGTTCTGTTTTCCAGTGAATTTAGGGGAAACTTTCAGTTGCAAATTTTAGCTTCCCAGTTATTTTTCTTTTCCCTTCTATCTTCTGCTTTTCCCCTTTTGCCATTTTGACAGTGGGAAAGGGAGGAGGAGGCAGAAAGGCAGCTGATGTCCTTTGTGTTGATTTTGCAAATTCTGTCACAAAGGGGAAGACTTAAAAATGCATTTTTGAATATAAAGTCTTATTACACAATTCTTCCTAGCTCGACAGAAACCTGCCTCCAGTTCTGCAAAGAGTGGTGGCAGGTAGGCAGCCCCACTGTGGTGCAGTGAATTCTGTCTGATCCGTTCAGGTATATGCCTAAAAAATAGCCCATATCAAGGATGAAGAGCTGGTATTATCTCGCTGAGGTCAGCAGAGCTACATTAGGGATGAATTTACTGCTGAGGTTTTGCAAAGATACTGTAAAGAGATGTCTGGCAGAAAACACACTAAGAATCATGTATTTAATTTTATAGACTAGACAATTTCCAGGTTTATATTAATATATATGTATCATCTAAACAAAGTTAAAATGTTTCCTGCTTTGTACAATGGATGAGCACTTTTTCCTCAGCTTGACAGTTTTGTTTGCTCGAGTACAGAAGCTTTACTTCTGAAGGTTTCCTTTGCTTGCATTGATTTTCCTTGGGCCAGTTTGTAGCTGTTTGGAAAAATGTTACCTTGCTTGTTACCTTTGTCTATGTAATTAGTTTCTTTTACTCAAGAGTTTACTGCAATGTAACTTGCTGTAGTTACAATTTATACTGATTGGAAAAGGGGTTCTTTTATTTTACTCCCTCTTTCATTGGCTTATCTACCTTACACACTTGCTTCAGAGGTGTCCTTTTTGTAAGCATTCTCCAAAAACCATGTCCCAACAGAAAATGAATGTTGTATCTCGAAGTTTGTAAAAACAGCATTTATCCCACAATTTCCATTGTCTACGATGAAATCATGATTTAACCTTACCCAGAGCAGACCTGATGCCAGCATAAGTTTGTGTAGTAAGAAGTGTTCCTGAAGCACATATTGGTAGTGTAGATGTTGGTTGATTGGTTGATGTTGTAGCTGTGATGGGCTAGGAAATATGTGAAAGGCAAGGATTGTCATGGGGATATTTTTATTGGACCAACTGCATGGTTGGGATAGATTTAGACAAGCTCTTGAATGCAGTGCGTTCTTCTTCAGGTCCATGGAGCCATGTAGCTTTTCTTCAGCAATGTTCAGGGAAGGTATAGGTAACTGTGGCAGAGGAGAGGATGCAGAGGGAGAGGCGAAGGAGGAGAACAATGTGGCTAGAGGCAGAAGGAAAAAAGACAGAAGGGAAGGGTTCAAAAGGACATGGCAAATGGGAAGTGGGAAGCCGTGGCAGTTGTCAGTGTTATGCTTTGAAACAAGGGTTTTCTTTTGTAGATCTCAGTCAAAGTTTTAAGTTGTGAAGTCTTAATATCAACAACTCCACCCTCCACCCCCCAAAAAAAACCCCACAAAACAAAACAAAACTGAGCTGAGTGACTTCAACTCCAGTCAGATTTAGGGCAAAGTAGGTGTTTCCCACTGCCATGTTACCTTGTAGACAAGGTTCCTTGGGTGAATTTGATATCTTTTATTAGACCAACCCAAATAGTTGGAGAATATTTATGAATGTTACCTTGCAAGCATTAATGGGGAAGGAAATGAGCACATAGGCACAAACACAGATTACACAATCACCTGGATTGCCCCCTCCCCCCCACCACCGCCAAAGAAATTGGAAGAATAGGCTTCAACTAAATATCTCCTCTACATAGCCACACTCTGCATCTCTTTCCGATAGCTTGGAAACACAGAACACCCATTGACAGCACGGCACAGAGGGAGCGCAGAATATGCAATGCAGATCCATGCCACAGATAGCAGATCTTCACTGTGGACTGGGGAGAAGGATTTTGCCCTAAATGTACACCAGATGCCCTAAGCACATTAGGTTTGTGAGAGTAATCAAACAGTCACCAGAGGATTACAATAGAGCCCTTAGTTTTGAGGACAGAGGTGTTGATGAAACAGTCTTTGAACTGTTTGAGGTTTCTTCGGTTTCTTCTTTTTTTTTTTTCTTGTGGGGTTTACTTTCTTCCTAAGAACAAAAAAAAGTAACTTCCCATGCACCACCAGTCTGCACAAAACAAGGACTCTTTTGAACTATTTTACATACAGTGCTTATTCAAAAGAATTTTCTTACAGTTTCCTAAGGAGCCTCACAAGATTGCGTTGTTGGTAAGGACACTGCAAGCATCCATTTCAGGAGGAACGCAGTGATGACAGTTGACTAAATAACACAGAAAAGGGATTCGTGAATGAAAGTGATGAGTTTAGTTTGCTGTTATTTTGGGGCGCTGTGTACTTACAGGAGCTACTTGGATGGCCAGCAGTGAAACAGAGGGGACTACTGAAACTTTCACAAGCTTTCATCTGAAAACGGTTCCTGAGCCAAATAAGGGCAATAGATTCATTTTTCAATATGATTCATTTTAGTATTTGCATCACAGTAGAATATATAAGCCCCAGCTGCAAGTGAGACGTATTATGCCAAATGCCACAAATATATGTGATTTTTGCTTACAGTACAAATAGCCCTCAAATGCCAAATATTTTTCATGCAGTTTTGACATCTTTGAATTTTTTTTCCAAAGAAGGCAAGAAATATTTTTTAAAATCTCCATATGATTAGAAACCACATTCGTTTTTAGTTATATTTTCAGTTTTCAGATACAAGCATGTGCCTCCTTTCCCTCCTCAATTTTTTTTTCTAGTTTCTGAAGTGGTATTTTTTGCCAATTCATCCCAGAAAATTTGAACTGAAAGGCAATACATTTTTTGTCAAAAACCATTTTTTCTCTCTCTCTCAAAAAAAATCAGTGCATACATTTTCCCTAGCTCTGCTGAATAGAGACAACAGGCCAAAGATGATAGAGAAGAAGTTCTGTTGTCCTTATTTAATTGATGGGGAACAGGCATACACGGAGGGTAAAGCTCTGATACACGGGTAGAATTTAGGTGCCTATGTCCAAAAGTATGACTATCACCAGTCCTGCCTAACCCATTAAATCAGGGGTGGGCAAAATGTGGCCTGGGGGCCAGATGTGGCCCGCCAGGCCATTCTATCCGGCCCGCAGGGCCCCTAAAAATTTTAGAAAATGAATATTTATCTGCCCTGGACTGCCTGTCATGCGGCCCAAGATGGCTTGCCAAAACTCAGTAAGCAGCCCTCTGCCCAAAATAATTGCCCACCCCTGTATTAGGTACTTAAAGCCTGTAAGCAATGCACCTATGCTTCTACTAATCAAGTCTCTGTAACTCAAGTTATACTTTTTTCACATGCCCAAAAGTGCCTTAGTCTTGTCACTGCTGAGCAGCTCCATGACTATTTACTGCCATGATTGAAACGCTAGGCATTGCTGCTCCTGTATCCCCTTGGTCCCCCAGCGTGCATAATGCATGCCACAAAAACATGACTAGAGGAGTCATACAGAAGCCTCATGGCGAGACCCTCTGCAAGTTCAGTTTTCTCTTTTTCATGAGTGGGTTAAAACACAGATCTCCCACCTTCTAGGAGAGTACCCTAACCATT